ACGCCCAGCTAATTTTTTGTATTTTGTTTAGTAGAGACGGGGTTTCACCGTGTTAGCCAGGATGGTCTCGATCTCCTGACCTGGTGATCCTCCCACCTCAGCCTCCCAAAGTGCTGGGATTACAGGCGTGAGCCACCGTGCCCGGCCTCGTTTTGTTTTTTTTAATAGAGATAGGGTTTCTCCATTTTGGTCAGGCTGGTCTCCAACTTCCAACCTCAGGTGATTCACCCACCTCGGCCTCCCAAAGTGCTTCGATTACAGGCATGAGCCACCGTGCCCAGCTGATCTCCTTCTTTTTATGGATACATAGTATTCCATGATATATATGTACCACATTTTCTTAATCCAGTCTATCACTGATGGGCATTTAGGTTGATTCCATGTCTTTGCTATTGTGAATACTGCTTCAATGAACATACATGTGCATGTATCCTTATAATAGAATGATTTATATTCCTTTGGGTATAAACCCAGTAATGGGATTGCTGGGTCAAATGGTATTTCTGCCTCTAGACCTTTGAGGAATCGCCACACTGTCTTCCACAATGGTTGAACTAATTTACACTCCCACCAACAGTGTAAAAGCGTTCCTTTTTTCTGCAGCCTCGCCAGCAGGTTGTTTTTTTGACTTTTTAATAACTGCCATTCTGACTGGCATGAGATAGCAACATATTAACATATGCAAAGCCTGAAGTCTTGTTCATTAGGCATATGTCTCATTCACTGAAATTTAACAACTGGAGGAATTATTATTTTCGTTCTAGAGATGGGGTCTCACTTTGTTGCCCAGGCTGGTCTTGAACTCCTGGCCTCAAGCAATCCTCCTGCTTTGGCCTTCCAGAGTCCTGGGATTATAGGCATGAGCCATCATGCACAGCCTGGAGGAATTACTTGACCACGAAAAAACACTATTGCTATTTTCCAAAGGGGAGGGCACAGTTCTTAAAAGTTCTTTTTTTTGAGACAGGGTCTCACTCTGTCACCCAGGCTGAGTGCAGTGGTGCGATTATGGCTTACTACCAGTCTCAACCTCCCTGGCTCAAGTAATCTTCCTACCTCAGCCTCCTGAGTAGCTAGAACTACAGGTATGCTTTAGCACACCCGCTAAATTTTTATTTTTTATAGAGGCAGAGTCTTGCTACGTTGCCCATGCTGGTCTCCAATTCTAAAGCTCAAGTGATCCTCCTGCTTCTGTCTCCCAAAGTGCTGGGCACACAGGTGTGAGCTACCACACCCGGCCTCAGGAGTTCTTAATAACTGGAAACATCTGAAGTACCACACAAGAAAAAAAGTTCACAATGGAAGAAAGACATGGACACAGGAAAATTACAGAAAGCAAGGCAAATTGAGAGATTATAAAGTATTTAGTTGGTGCAAAGGAATTGCCGTTCTTGTCATTACTTTTAATGGCGAAAACTGCAATTACTTTTGCACCAACCTAAGAGGACTACATCTCATTTCATAGAGAAAAGCATAGGAAACTCTCCCTAAATTTTGGTCATTAGAGCTCCACAGCTGGGTGCAATGGCTCACGCCTATAATCCCAGCACTTTGGGAAGCCGAGATGAGCAGATGGCTTAAGCCCAGGAGCTTGAGACCAGCCTGGGCAATGTGGCAAGACCCCGTCTCTACAAGAAATAAAAAAAATAGCCAGGCATGGTAGCACGCACCTGTAGTTCTTGAGATGGGAGGATCACTTGAACCTGGGAGGCAGAGGCTGCAGTGAGCTGAGATTGTGTCACTGCATTCCAGGCCTGGATGACAGAGTGAGACTCTGTCTCAAACAAAACAAAACAAACTATTCCACAATATCCACCAGGAACTGGATGATGGCCCACGCCCTGGCTGAGCTGCCCTGGTGCCCCCCTTCAGTCATTTCGTGGCCAAGCCCACCCCAGCCTCTCGGCAGCCTCTGAGAGAGTGCCCAGGCCCCCACGAGCTCTGTCCTCGTCTCCACTCACTCCAGCCCCACGATTCTGCGAACCACCAAACTCACCCACATCCGCAGCCTGCACGGCTCCATTCCCCATTCTCTCCCAAGCCCGTCACCCTCCACTCACTGGGCACCCCCTCAGCGGGACACCTAGGTTCTCCACACGCACTGGGTGTCACCTTTACCTCACACCCCACCTGCCAGCCAATCCTACCGCCCCACGCTCAGGTGCACCCCAGTACAACCTTCCCCAACCCCAACAACACCAGGCCTTGCCCAGGGGCCCTCTCACCCCCCAGCTCTGGGCTGCCCAGGGGCTTTCCTCCCTCTCTGGCTGCCCCACTGTCCTCATACCCGGCCTGTGTTCCACACAGCTCCTCAACCCCACAGCCCTGCCAGTTGCCGCTTAGGGTCCACATGCTCCCTCACTGTCCCTTGACTGCCTCAGAGAAGCCGGTGCTGTCACCTCTCTTCCCTTGATGCCACCTGATTTTGATTCACAGAGCTGATCACTACCTGATGTTACATGTTTGTTAGTATTTTTTCCCACTAGAGGAGCCTCACCACTGAGTCCCCAGCTCCTGGAATACAGCCCGGCACACAGTTGGTACCCAATAGGTGTTTGTTCAACAAATGGATTGTTTTTGAAGTGTCCTCCACCCCCAACATCTCTGCTTTCCTCTTTAATTCACCCACTCACCCACACACACAGACACACACCCCCATTCACATCCCCACACACTCACCGATATTCACACTCACCCCCCACACACTCACCCCCACACACTCACCCACATTCACACACTCACCCCCACACACTCACCCACATTCACACACTCACCCCCACACACTCACCCACATTCACACACTCACCCACACACACACTCTCACCCCCACGGAAATATACAATGCAAAACTGAGACAAAGTAACCGAAGTATGAGAAGCTCCCTCCAAGACAAACAGCTGCATTTCAATGCTGTAGGACAAATTAGCCTGTTATAAGTGACGGTTATGTCACAGAGCTGTAAAATCAGGCAATCTATCAACATTTTGAGGCAATTCCCTAGGACAAGTTAAAAATTTTACCTTTCTTGAATATTCATTTTTTAACACACTAAATGATAGTCAATCAAGGCAATGGAAAATGTTAACTACATAAATCAAAATAGGCAAAACAAAGCTTAATTCTGAAATAAAGTAAGATAAAAAGTGCTATTTATTCCTATCTTTTCTCTTTATTCCTATGAGAATAGTCATTAAGAAGCTGTACAGTGGAAGACGTATATACGAATTGAGCAGATGGCCTGTGGAATGGATTATCTATGAGTTGAGGGAAGGCCTGTGGAGTGGATTATCTATGAGCTGAGCGGAAGGCCTGTGGAACGGATTATCTATGAATTGAGCGGAAGGCCTGTGGAACGGATTATCTATGAATTGAGCGGAAGGCCTGTGGAACGGATTAT